GAGTTTTTTTTGTTTAGCAAAACTTCATTTTTGAATATTGCTTTTAAATATTTGGGGAGGGTGGGAAAAATTACTGTAAGTTAAATTTTTTTGCATAAAGTTCTACCAAAAAAGCATCCAGGTGGATTTGAAGATAAAAATAAAATGTTAATAATGAAAAATATAGAAATTCTTTAAAGTTAAAAGGTAATTGTCACTTATGCCTTGCTCTAGGTCACATTGTCTTGTCATCTATAGTAATGTAATATAACAATAACAGAACTTTTTGGTTTAATAATTGAACTAATTGATAAATGCCTTATATAATTTACTTAGTTCCCAGGGAAAAAAAATATGAGATATTGTGGTAGTAGGCAGGATAATAATAAATAATAAAAAATAAATTTTTACATTTTTCATGGCAGCAATACACTAACTAGTCAAAAATATTATTTTATTTTTGTATGAAATATTCCTTATTGGCAGGTGGTTATCAAAACAAAGTTTAAAATCTCACTTTTTGAGCATTGAGTTTTCTTTAAATTTCTGAATGGAAAGCTCGTTATTGGATAAAAATGAAATATTTTTCATAAAAGTGTGCTTTACCTTGAAGCGAGTCATACATAGTTAAGGAAAGGAATAAAAGAGAGATAAGAAGCAAATTATATCCGCTATTAGTAAAAAGAGGAACTATATTTCAACAGATAATGGTCATATTCCCTTTACAAGTTAATTTTTCATCAACAATTTTATTAGGAATTAAGGACGATCTTTGTACATGTGTAGTTGACAGGATTGCTGATAGTTTAGTGTCTCATTGATTTTCTAGCTTCATCTTAATTTTATAATTATGTACTGTAGCAATCAAGATGTGGTTGGTAGTTAGGTTTTCATACTAGCAAACTTGACTAAGAAAATCCTGTTTGCAATGAAGTACTGAATGAGTAACACTGCTACACAATTGCATGAATAATAATTATGGAATTTTATTTTAAGATTTAAATATAGCCAAAATTAATTGTGCTTGAGCCATATTTTTTTTCTTTAATACTGTACAAGCAAAACTATATTACAACTAAAATATATATTTAAAATTTTTTTTTTTTATTTGTGTCTGCCATACAGGCAATATGGACAGGTCAAACAAACTTTTAATTTGCAGGTCATTCCATGCCGAATCAAAAATGATACCATGAAAAACCAGGAATTTATTGAAAAAGGCAGGACAAGATATGATCTGCCACTGATGGTGCTCTTGCTTCCATTTGGAATTTTTCAGAAATAAGTCTAAGCTTACTGTACCAGTGGAAAATAATTCCACAGCATTTGACTAGCAAAAGAAAAACAAAATAATCACTTGTACAAGCATGTACAACTTTAAGATACATTATGATCTTAAATGTTAATAACTGTACTTTTCCAATGCCAGTTCTCATTTAATTTAATTCCATATATTTAAAATAAATTATGAATATTTATTTTCTCACTTGAGTAGTTTCCGTGCATGGTTGGTTTTCTGATGATGTCATCATTTAGAAGTATGTCACGTAGAAAGTTCTTTCAAGATAGTTATCAGTTAATAATTGGTGAACTTCTAATGTCCCGATTTAAAAAAAAAGTGTAATGGAAAGTGGTGCCAGTATACTTGGCAGACATCCTTTACTGCTTGTTGCCTTTCTATTTGTCTGGGGTCATTTTTACCCAATTCATATTAAGACTGATATTTGCATTCTTTGGGGAATGGTTAAAATCTGGGGTGTAGTAGGGTGAGTAAATGAATATTTTGGCCTACATGGTGGCAGCAGAGAGGATAATTTATGAACATCTCCAAATAATAACAATAATATTAAATAATATTGACATTTTGTAAGGCACATGTATGTATCCATCTCAGAGAGCTACATATGGTGCCATTCTTCTTGCACAGGGAAGCCTTTTTTTGCATTTCATATTTCGTTTTATATTTTTAATTTTTATATAAGCAATTACAAAAATTTCCAGGGGACATCCATCCATGACCAACCTCTGTCTCGTGTCCCCGAATCTTAACCTAGGTGGCTTGAACAAAATAAAACCATGGTTTCCAATAAATAAGATTTAGACAATAACAAATATATTTTTTATGTATTAGAGACTACAAGTTTCTTCCCTTCATTGTTGAGTGTCTCAATTGCATAGAAAAATAAAGAATTATGAATGGAAATGGATTTAAATTGCAACTACAGCAGCTTTAAAATCAAATTCACAGGTTTATTGATGTTGATTTGACCAGTTTTTCTTTTAGCTGTAAGCTGTACAGTAATTTCTATATTTTTATTCTCCTCATGGCAGCAAATCAAATTCAAGCCTTTGCTAGAATTATGTAAAATTAGTATGTGAAGGCCAAATTACTTGTGAATATTTTATCATGTCACAGCTAGTTGACTAGTTTCCTGAGCAGTTTTTGGCAAATCTTTTTTCTCTAACTGACATGATGTGCTTTTTTGACACTATTTTTTGCAATTTATACCCGATAAGTTATTTAAAAGCAATAAGTTGTGCAGAGGCTAATTATCTTCATTGATGCCTGATTGTCGTGCTACGATGAACCTGAACCCTGGTCAACTTCACTAATAATAACAGTACTGATAATATTTGATACACACGCCTGATGTAAATATAAAGTTAATTTGTTGTGATACGTAATTGCTACTTAAGAAATAAGACTCCATTTCAAATTTAAATATAGTATACAGAACTAAATTGTTAAATTTATCCTAATTTGATTTACTCAATGTCAATAAATAATTTCACCATGAAAAGAATTACTTAATATAAAGATTTTAATAATAAAAATACTCCGAGTGTGACCACTGATCCCAGGTCTTGCATTATAAACCATTTAGAGATTAATTCAGTGCAATAGGAAAGATCTAATTCTTAATCATTCAACTTTTGTGAATGTATTTAGGCATGTGACATGCCTAAATATGGTCATGATGACATCCATCATGACCATATATAGGCACACCATGGGCGGATTGCTATAAGCGGTCTTCAGACGGTCTTAACGGTTAGGCGGCTTTAATCGTGATGTCACTACGCGTCTATGATTATAGACCATTATGCCCTGTCTAACCAGTTAGCCGTCTTAAATTTTAAAGCTTACTTGGAGGCAGCTTAAAACGGTCTTAAATCATTTTCATCATGGCATTCTGCTGATTAATTTAACAGTGCAATGGCAAGACCTAGGCCTAGATCGTCAAAGTTGGAGAATAAAACGACAAATGCTCTGCACACTTCTCAGCATCTGTAAAAATAGGTTTGCGGCGTTTATTTACGTTTATTTCGATACATTTGCGTGCGTCAAGCACGCATGATGTAGCCCTCAATCTTACGTTACTTACAAGGGAGTGCTTGTTTGCATTTCATTACTCAAAGCAGTCTTAGGGAAGACTTTTATAGCAATGGTCTTAGAGGAATGACTTTAGTAAGACCCTAGCTAAGTGATAAAGCCGGCTTTATTCGAGGAGTTAAGACTACCAGTTAAGACCGTTTTATAGCAATCCGCCCATCACTATGATGGGCATACAACAATTTTTTGTCAGATAAGATTAGTAGTGCGAACATGACTTGCTGTTTACAGTATATTCGAAGTGTACCAATTGAAAACGTTAATTCATATATTTATTTAAATTGAATATGATAAGAAGTTTAAGGGATACATTTATTTAATGTTCATTCAGGTTAACAATATGGTTCACATTTTCAAAGTTGCCATTAAATTTAAGTACAAAAGCATTGAAGGTTTTAATAGCAGCTTTATCCCACATGGCTTTCATAGAGTTTCTAAAATACATAATACTCAAATTCAATTACTAAAACAAAGGTTGACTTGTTCTGAAAAGCAGAGGAAACCAAGAAACGCTTAAACAATTGAGAGTGTCTGTTATTTACAACTGATATACGATTAACATTCAACTATACGTAATTTGATTAACCTTTGACCCCTCTGAGTATTATTAAATTTTCCATGAGTTACTCCAGTTGGGATTGCTAGACACGCTTACAGCCGTGTTAAATCATCCGACAATGGATACCACAGGCGGTACAGTACAAGGACTGTGGTGGGTAACACGGTCCCATATGCTTTAGTGCACTAGGGATTTAAACCACATTGGCTGCTTACAGTAAAATTTATAATTATGCATCGTTTTACCACAAAACACTTCTAGCCCCATCTAAAAATTGTTAAATATTACTTGACAAGTAAAAAGTGTGTTATGTTACTTGTTTGTTTAACTTTTACAGCCAGTAAATAACTCAGCATTGTCTGCACATAGTGGCATTCCAGATGGATAGGGCCGGTAGCATGCTTCCTACAAAAAAAAAAAAAAAAAACCCCAAAACTAGAACTACTCCTGGCATTGGCCGAGCATATTTATATATTATACCCAAAGGCCAGTTGGTGTTCAAGGGCTCAGTTGAGGCCTGGTTGCTACTGCAGCTATGTATTTTAATAACTTAGCGTATCATTTAGGATATCCCGGTGTACTGCTCCAGACTGCCCCTGTCGTACACAGATAAAAGGTTTCACCGAGTATTGGCAAAGGCATGAATTGACCCTTTGACCCGTTAGGACAAAATAATGCTATTGGACAGTACAGTCCATGCATTGAGCACTATGGCATGATGTCTAACAGTTGCTTTACAAACTATTGTACTATTATTTATTACACAAAATCAAAATATTATAATAATTATTATTATCTGGGATGTTAATGTTGATTGGAAAAATCTTCCATAACCCAGGTTGTGACCTTATAATAGGAACAAGCAAGATGAACAAAAAATAAAGATAAACAAATGACATTCGTTTTGAGGATTAAATACAATATTTACTCTTCTGTGTATTGTACAGTATATTAGTGATATTTTGTTTAATATTTCAACAATAACATTAGATTATTTACACATCAATTAAAATGATTAATTTCAGAGAATGCAGACGATTCCAAGCTTGAATTATTCAAAGTACTTACCCCTTTATCACTGGAGTCTCAACCGCTGTCTTTGCATTTAATTAATGTTAACATGCTGTGTAGTGTGCAAGGAAGCAGGCCTATTATTCCAGTAGTAACTCACTCAATAAATGTATAGGAATTGAGGTTGTTTAACAGCAAAAAAAACAAACCTAATTTTGCTGTAAACATTGATGTTAAGAGGAAGATTTAGATTCCACGAGTTAACTTTAGCCTCCGGCAACTTAAAGGAACACTGGTGAAGAACAGCTAAGCTGAAAGTGCAGTGATTAGTAATGCAAGTGTTAACTGTCAATTAAGTCAGCGATGGTCTACCAATTGTTTGCTAACAATTAAAACTAATCCTAAATAGCAACAATACAAATGAAATGTCCATCTTGATTAAACCCTGTGTACAGAAAAATCTCTAATTGATGCATTACCATCTTGATTGCCACCTTCTTTGTCACCTAACAATTGTTCTTAGTTCATTACCTCGTCTTGCATTTGTTTGTTTTTTTCATTTCCTCATTTAAAATCCATGTAATTACCATAAGAATTCTTATGTGAACATTGAGTGTTTGTAAATTCTGTCAACACTGTCACATTTTTGTGACAAATAAATGTGATATGCCCATATTTGGGTGTACTATGATATCATCATGCCCATATATGGACATATCACATGCATTTGTCACATAACATTTGATGCAAGTAGTGTGGCCCAAGCTTTAGGTATGTGCAATAAAATTTACATACACTCATCTTGAAAATTATGTGGGTTGTTGACCCATATTTATGTATATTCTGTTTTTCGCTCTGTTTTACCTGGTTTAGCCCCAATAAAAAAAAACAAATTTTATCACCTGCATTGCTTATTTATATTATTGAAAAAAAAGGGGTTTTTTTTTTAATTAAAAAAAAAAAATTTTTTTTTGTAAATAGTAGATATTGTTTGTATTATCTGAATCATGTACTTTACTTTGAATATCAGTGCACCAGCAAACAATCCAAGGGTGTATTTGGGTTTAGCAAAATAAAAAAATAAAAATAACAAGCTTTCCTTCTTCATCACTTTCCAGCCTAGATGGGGTAATAAACTAATAATTATTTTTATGGGGCCTTATGAGAAATTCACTGATATTTTTATGCCCATAAGCAGGATAATTCTCCCTTTTTTTCTTTTTATTAATTTATTGTTTTTATGTTAGGTTAGCTTTCCAAATTTGAGCTTGGAGTTTCTTGTCAAGTCATTTTCATCCTATTAAAACTTACATTTATCTATTGTATGTATTAGTTTATTTTATTATCTCTGTTGGCCTATACCATCCATAAATTAGGCCTAATTTGGAATACCTTTAATTATTTACAAAAACAGTATTAGTTTGATTTGTGTGTGAAAATAAAGATTACTCAGTGGTTACAGAATGCTTGAAGAGTGAACACAAAACACTTAAAAATAATCTGAATTTTTTTTATATTTTTTTTATGTGCCTTGCTTTGCTCGTTATAATTTATTACACTTACAAAGATAGTTATATGCATCTTCTTTTATTGATGATATATAGGCCTATTTGAAAACAAAAAAGAAACAAATTAATTTCTGTTTGAAATACATTTTGAAATAAAAGTGTTTAAAAAAAGAAAATATAAAACTTATTCTATATTTTAGAACACTAAAGAACTCTAAATCTATAGAATCGTAATGTAGCAAACCTAACCCTAACCCTAACCAAAGCTGAAATTACATTTTTAATGTTAGAAAAGTACAATTTCATTTTGGTTTGTGTGAAGCGAGCAAACCACAGAATATCGTACCAAGGATTCCAAGTTTCCCAGCAGTTGCAGGAGTCTCCCATAAATCGGTACGGTCTTCTGTGCTCTCGATTTTCCAAACTTGTTATCAATAGTTGATTTTGATTAGCTAGTAATCGGCTTATGTTTGATAAATCTGAATAAAGTGACTTTAAATAAAATCATATAATTAGTATTGGCTTTTTACTGTGTATTTGCCCAATCAATTCATGCTTTTACAAATGCGCCAAGAAGCTTACCCAACAAAAGACACAAAACACTTGATAAAGTAATTACGCTTGAATGTGTGATTAGCGTGCAATTGCTCGTGGGTATTTAAGATTAGAATAGAGCAACGAACAGACTAAGCGTCTCTAAACTCTAAACTTTCTGTAACGCCTACAACAGGCTTGCTATATTGTTCATGTATTAATTTTAACACATAATTTCAGGTTCATAAACTTTGAAAAATACCTTTAAAGAAAATGGGAAGACTGTGGCATGTAAAATGAGGTGCCTATTTTAGGTTTCCAACAATAATCAAAACAATAAAATACAGTGGCAGATCCAGAAATTTAAAATAGGGGGCCCAGGAACGGAGGGTTTAAAAAAATTAATGATTATGGCACCTCTAGGACCAGAAATGGGAGTCTCTAAATTTAATTGTAATTTTCCTTTTTTCTTGATTTTTGTTTATGATTTTGAAAAATGTAAGGGTGGAGGGGCCGGGGACGGTTTGCATCCCAACCCTTGAGTCCAACACTGCTATGTATGTATATTGTGCAATATAAATGTAAACTTATTATTTATAGAGCAAACATCAAGCAGGAGATTTGTTGCTGGCTTGAGGCAGTTCCAGATGCTGCTGATTTCTGGTAAAATGTTGTGACTTGCGGAAGACTTGGTACACTACACAGGATTCCTATTTTGCCTGTTAATAGTGTATAAATTAATATTTCACTTGTATAACAAAAACCTAATACAAGTGGAAAGTACCAAAGAGGCAGAAGTTCATATACAGTCCCCAGAACTAAAATACACACAGTCATTTGTTTTTAAATCGTTCTTTATTGAAACAATCTGTTTACACAGATAAAATATAACCTAGGTTTACAGCATGAAAAGAGTAGGCCTAATGCATGCAGGGAAAAGAACTTGAATCAAATATTAACCTTAATAATAGTTGGTCTCATGCTTACTGTGTAATGGTACAGTAGAACTGAGTCAAGTTGAAAGCTACTGGATTCACCATAGTTTCTTTACCTTTACCTGTAATTATACAATACAATTGAAGATCACTGTACTCTGCAATATTGGTGCACCCTGCTGATAACCCTCATTTATTCACTGTTCCCCTGAATGTTAATCATTCCAGATAATTCAAAGATATTTCCTGCTGGCTTTTGTTTTACCAACACAATTCAAATCCCATACTACTTGTCATAAACATTTAAAGTTAGTACGTTGATGCGTGCTATAGGCTAGATCATTGGATAACATTTTAATAGTGTTCCATGGTGTTGGAGTCAACCCACTGCTGGGACTGGCTCTAGTTGTTAGCTTTAATACTCTGTATGTTTCTAAATTGGTAATTTCCCTTGGTAACTTAGGCCAGCAAGTTTAATAACTGCTGATCTTTGAAACACAGGTAGTTCATGATAAAACAGGATATTACACCCAAATATCCGATGAATTTTTGCAAAGGCTACATACAAATTTAGTACGCCAAGGGAGATGAGCATTAGTAATCTTGCCGAAAGTACTATAGATGCATTACAGCTCTGGTTCTTAATGAAAAATATCGACACCATACTCTATGCTATCGTAGAACCTAATATTGCATTGCTGTCATATACATCCCTCAATACCCAATTAACTGCCTCAGTAATGGTGCAAGCTGTATAAATAAATATACACAAGGTTGAAGAAGTTTGAAGCTACTGTATCTGTCTACTGCCAAATCCATTTGTAATTGAAATTTGAACCAGTTTTGATCTATATTTTATTTCATTTCATTTATTTATTTTCCAGATTGTTAACAAATAACACAAACCTAGCACTATTCTGGCGGATTGTCAAAAAGCAAACAAATTCACTATGTAAAGACTCTCCAACTACTGTAGTACTAGAACGGAAAACAAACAGGGTTAATTAAAATAAAAAGCAGACAAAGCAGAGAAAAAAGCACAATCACCAAAAAGAAATAAATCAGAAACAGAAGAAGGGATCTCATCCCACATCCGTGGGAATGAGATAAAAACGGAGTTTAAAAAAGCATTCATACAGGCCTTAGCATGTCTAAAAACAATTTTCTCAGTTCTACGGGCAACAGGAACAGGCAACAGAGCATCATCAATGAGAAAATCTGACCATAGGCACTTGGCAACGAATTTTACACGAATATATTTTTAGTCTATTGAAAATTGTGTGTAGTTGTAAGTGGAGCAACCTTTCTTGTAGGGTAGTTTTGATTGTTCACAAGTCAATAATAATTAGATATTCTATCATCACAATTGAATCATTGTGGTCATTTAGTAATCATCTGATCACATTTGCAATTGTAAACCAGTTAGGCAGGCTGAGGCATGTTTGAACTGTTTTAAATTATTCAGTGTTACCTACTGTAGCTAGCTGTATAGCAGTATTAAACAAGACCTCTATGTTTTTCACATAACCCAGTTCAAACCCTACATTGGTACCAACCTAAAGTTGGGCTCTGGAAGAAAAACATTTTTTGATATGTTGTAGAACTGATTTTTCTAAGACAAAAAAAGTTGTTTGACGAAAAACTGGGGAACGGTAAATGAGATACAGATTTTGAACATTTAAAAACTGGTTGAAAGGGGGCATAACCACACTTTTTAACACCTTTTCCTTCAGTTATTAAATATTAAAAAATCTGTATCTCATTCACAGTCAATATTTTTTTCGCCTCCAAAATCTAACTGTAAACTCCTGGGTAAAGAACACAACATAGTTAAATTTAAAAGTTTTTCCAAATTGCGAAAGCTACTAAAAATTATAGGTGCATTGCTTCTGGATAGATAAAGATTATGATAATCATAACTGATTTTGCAATGTTTATATTATAATAATAATGATATAGAAATTCAAGTGATATGTTTGTCAGAAGAAAGATTCTACAGTACTTGCATTGTTTTGCTAAGATTAGTGGATAAGGATAGGCTTCTGAGTAGATAGGGTTACTGAGCAATTCTGACCAGATATAGTAAGTACAACTTTGACAAGAGATATACAACTTTGACCAAAATAGGGGCAACTTAACCAGATGGACAACTGTTTACCAGGTAAAGACAAGTGTAACCAAACAGGCTGTGATCAGATAAATACAACTTGATCAGATAAGCTAGGTTCACATGGGATTATAGCCAGATGAAGTAGCTGATCTACTTGCCAAGTTAATTGGATTAAATCCACTAATCACGTTCGATGTTAGAGCGAGATATTTTGACTACCAG